TGCTCAGCCTCTGAGGGCGAGCAATGAAACCCACAGGATAATTTAGGGCTTGCTGGAAATATCCCAATCAATATTTCAGAACAAAGGGCCAGTTTTCTTTAAGCTGAGACTTTAAAATGTCGTTTTGCATTTTTTTTTTTTACGCTCCCTAAAACAAGAGGCAAAGTAACTCGAGCACAAACTTCCTGACAGTTAATTTGCCCTCGTTGCCTTAAAGCCTTGTAATTCGACTTTTTTAAAACATTAAAAAAAAAAAAAAAACAAAAACAACTGAAAGAGGGGGTTAAAAAAAATCATTTCCAAGTGGAAACAGCGATTCCATCTCCCAATTTCAAAATTATATTGAAAATGCATCTCTTGGCTGGGGCATTATCTTGAGGAGGATGAAACGTTTCATTAGCAGTGACACCTTCCCATAACTGCAAATTTATCAAATGCATTGATAGGGGCCTTTCAGGGAAACCACAGCTCTGTGGGGGAGCTTTGCTGTTTGAGACACCTCTGCACTGCCCTGGGAATTGTTCCATTCCAGCGGGAATCGGGGTTTTCTGGCTGGGAGATGCTCACACACACATGGCAGTGGGTCAGAAAGGCACCAGTGTGGCTGGAGGAGCCGCTTGGAAATTAGAAATCCTGGGATGCTCATCCCTGGGTGTCTGTCCTTAGGGTGCTCAACCCTGGGGTGATCACTCCTGGAGTGTTCATCCCTGGGGTGTCCATCCTTGGGGTGTTCATTCCTAGGATGTTCATTCCTAGGATGTTCATTCCTAGGATGTTCATTCTGGGGGGACTCATCCCTGAGATGTTCCTTCCTGGGATGTCCATCCTTGAACTCTTCAACCCTGGGATATTCATCCCTGGGAGGTTCATTCCTTGGATGTTCACCCCTGGGATGCTTATCCTTGGACTGTTCATCCTTGGAGTGTTCATGCCTGGGATATTCATCCCTGGGAGGTTCATTCCTGGGATATTCACCCCTGGGGTGTTTATCCTTGGACTGTTTATCCCCGGGAAGTTCATTCCCAGGATGTTCATCCCCGGGGTGTTCATTCTTGGGATGTTCCTGGCTGGGATGTTGATCCTTGGACTGTTCATCCCTGGAATGTTCAGCCCTGAGATGTTCATCCTTGGGGTGTTCATGCCTGGGATATTCTCTTCTGGGATGTTGATCCTTGGGATATTCCTTTCTGGGATGTTCTGGGGTGTTAATCCCTGGGATGTTTATCCTTGGGCTGTTCATCCCTGGGATGTTTATCCTTGGGCTGTTCATCCCTGAGATGTTTATCCTTGGGCTGTTCATCCCTGGGATGTTTATCCTTGGACTGTTCATCCCTGAGATGTTTATCCTTGGGCTGTTCATCCCTGAGATGTTTATCCTTGGGCTGTTCATCCCTGGGGTGTTTATCCTTGGGCTGTTCATCCCTGGGAAGTTCATCCCTGGGCTGTTCATCCTTGGTTTGGGAAAGCCTCTTCCACACCCTCCAGCCACACATGGAGCCAAGCCAAGATCTAGTTTGATCCATCCCTGGTGACACACGGGGGATTGGGATCATCCCTGATTTTGGGGGGCAGCACAGCCTGGTTTTCCCTCCGGATCCCTCCTCAGGAGGTGGCTCGGGAAGGACTGTGGTGGCTCCTCCTGCTGTGTCCTCACAGGTCAAGGAGCTCCTTGTGCACGAGCGATGGCAAACACAACTGCTTGGGAATATAGCCCTGGAGCTCCTGGATGTGCTGGGATGATAATAATGGAGCCTTGGGATAACACTCCCGTTGTCCTGGGCTGATCCCACAGCAAGGGAGGGGGGAATTCTGCCCCTCTGCCTCCTCAGGTGAGACCCCCCTGCAGAGCTGCCTCCAGTCCTGGGGAACAACAGCAGGAGGACGTGGAAGTGTTGGAGCAAGTCCAGAGGAGGCCCCAGGATGATCAGAGGGCTGGAGCAGCTCTGCTGGGAGGAAAGGTTGGGAGAGCTGGGATTGTTCAGCCTGGAGAAGAGAAGCTTCCAGGACCTGAAGGAAAGATGGAGAGAGATTATGGACAGGGAATGACAGGACAAGGGAGAATGGCTTCAAACTGGCAGAGAGAAGGTTTAGATTAGATATTGGGGAAAAAATTCCTCCCTGGCCCAGGTTGCCCAGAGAAGCTGTGGCTGCCCCTGGATCCCTGGAAGTGTCCAAGGCCAGGTTGGAGCAACCTGGGCTGGTGGAAGGTGTCCCTGTCCATGGCAGGGGGTTGGAACAAGGTGAGCTTTAGCATCCCTTCCAACCCAAGCCATTCCATGACTCTGTGATGTTGCAACCAGGACATTCCACATCCATTTTGGCCAAGAGAAGCAGCCCAGCCTGGATGACACAACATCCACCAGTGATCCAGACTCCGTTCCCAGGTCTGAAATTACCACTGGGTGATTTTTACTCACATTAACTCATTTCTCCTCACATTTATTACCTTCTAAAGTGTATGGGCAGCTCTTAAAAAGCATTTGGGTGTGTGAATACAAATGATTTGAGGCTGGGAGGATCAGCTGAGAGACCAGAAGGTTGTGCTGCCATTCAGAGGGACCGTGACAGGGTGGGGAAATAGGCACAGAGGCCCCTCACAGAGCTCAGGAAAGGGAATTTTGGCTGTTCCTCATCCTCATGCTTACAAGAGGTGGAATAAGGGAGTAGAAGAGGCCCCAGGAAAACAAAGCAGGATGAGGGTTGGGGTGCCCTGATGGCAGCTGCCCACACTCTGCCCCAGTGTTTGGAGGGCAGAGGAAGGGCCAGGACTTGCAGATGAATCATGGCAGGATAATGTTGCTGCAAATCACCGGGGCTGTGCTCTGCCCACCGAGGGGATGACGGAAAGCTCCACGTTGATTTATCCCAGGGTGATCCATCTCTCCTCCCTTGCTCCTCGGCACATACATCACTGGAGCCATCCAACAGGACTGGCTGCTCCAAGTGTTCAAAGTCATTCCCTGCTGCTCAGGGCACATCCAGCGCCGGGATCAGGGAGGGGAGGGACAAGAGCGCTCAGAGAATCCCAGAGAATCCTCCCTCCCACCACGCCCTGTGGTTTTCCTCCCCTCTCCTGCCCACAGTTTATTGTAGGTTTGGAGACCTTAACAGGAGCAGCTCCACTCCAGGGAGGAGAGTTACAGTTTGTGTTGTTCTCGTGACTCTTTATAGGAGGGAATGATGACACTGGAAGCCCCAGAGCAGTTGGAACGTGCACAGTGGGTTGATCTGAGCACACAGTGACTGTCACATTCCCTTCTTGCCCTGTGTCCCATCAGCTCATGATATAATTAATGATATAATTATTAATGATAATCACAGGTAATGCATTACCTGTTCCTGTGCTGCACAATGCACAGCTTGATCTGCCCATAAATGTGTCCCTTTGAGGGGGGATTCCTCTGCCCTGAGGGATATATTTGGTTTTAGGAGTGTAACCATGAGCTAATCACCATCAAGCCATTGGAAAGTTGGGGAGGGGAGAAATAAGATCCATTTTCAGCTGGGTCAAACAATTCCTTTTGAAGAGACCACTGACCAGTTGACAAAGTCCTGATTGATCAGGAGTTGGACTCAGTCTTGGAGGTCTTTTCCAACCTAAATGCTTCTATGACTTCAGAGGAAGTCTGGAGTAACCAACAGACCCAGCAACACGTCCCTGTTACACATGGAAAAGGAGAGGAGATGAATTCTGCTTACTTTCTAAATGCTTTGTTGGACTTCACTTGTTATGTTCCACCAGGGCTCGTCAAAAACCCACCCAAGGAGCTCTGCACCTGCCCCAGGAGGGGGAGGGATGATCCCATTCCTGCCAGGCACAGCCTGGCCTTGCTCAAAACCATTGGAAGGAGGTTTCCAGCTGCCTACTTTTGTTTCCCAATTAATAAAGGGTAAATGACACTTGGATAGGTGCTGCTGTTCCTTGAGCTAGTCCTTGGGAACCTGGTGTTCCTCATCTTAATGGTTCAGACATCCAGCCTGCTCTTCCAGCAGTGACCATCCCAGAAGATCATCCAACTGTTGCTGCTCCAGACTCCTGACTTTTTAAAGGCACGTGGAAGTGCTGTGCCTTCAGCAAACACATCAATCACTTGTGGCTGCAGCCCAGTGTGATGTGATTCATTAACTGGAAAAAAAAAAATTAAGCTTTGAACACACGAGGGGAAAATATGAATCAAATAATCATTTGCAAATGTGCCGCACAATAAATCTGAAGCGTTTATCTGGCAGGTGTTATTCGAGCAGTTTGAGTGATCAGCTGCAAATTTGCAGATCATAATAATTATGAACAAGTGTAGGAACAAGCAGAGCTTAATCAATAGGGCTGAGGGAGCGGGAACAGTGTGACATGTGTGCTTGATCTGGGGCTCTCACCAGGCCCAGACCCGGCGGGGAGGTGGGGAAGGAACACACTGTTCACCTGGGACAAATCGATGGAAAACAGCCTGGGATCATTCTGTGCCAGCTCAGATTTGCCCAGGCAGCCTGCATGCCTTGCTGTCTCTCCTGCCTCTCCCTGTCAGACTGTCTGGCTGGGAAAAACACAGCTCAACAGGATTTATACCATGCCCCAAACAGTGCTCTGGGCTGGCAGATGGTTTGCAGGCAGGACAGGGCTCAACACTGAGAGCAGCTGAGAAGCAGCAAGAGGGGCTTGTGTTTCTATTTGTGTCAGCCTTTGGAGCCAGGAACTTCAAAGAAAGGTCCTTAACTCCTTAAAGGAGGTTAAAATAAAGGGGTGCATAAAGGTCCTGAGATTTGTATCAGCTTCACTGTTACCCAGGTGAAAAGCAGAGGCACTGCCAGGTGCTCTCCGTGGGAAGAGAAGGAGGAAAGGATGAGCTGAGATTCACCTGAGCCACAACAAGAGACGATGCCTGGGCTGGAGACACGCTCAGACATCTCCAGGAGGGCAGAGAATGGGAACTTGTGTCGTTGTCCATGTCCATGAGGGCCACAAACCCGTGGATGGTGTTGCTGTAAATGCAGGAATGAATGTGAAGCACTCAGGGCACTGAACCCACCCCAGGAATTCTGTAACCACTCTGTTGTTTCAGTGTCACACCCACCATGTCCGGGCCATGCTGCGTCTGCAGGGATGGAATCATGGAATCACAAGGTGGTGTGGGTTGGAAGGGATGTTAAAGATCAGCCAGTCCCACCCCCTGCCATGGGCAGGGACACCTTCCACTACCCAGGTTGCTCCAAGCCCCATCCAGCCTGGCTGGAACACTTCCAGGGATGGGGCAGCCACAGCTTCTCTGTCCAACCTTTTCCAGGACCTGACAACCCTCTGAGTAAACAATTTCTTCCCAAAGTCTAATCTAACCATTGCCCCTTGGCCTGTCACTATTACCACAGAAAAACTCCCTCTCCCTTTATTTTATAAGCCCCTTCAGGCACTGGAAGAAGCTTGAAGATCTCCCTGGATCCTCCTCTTCTCCAGCTGACACCCCCAGGTCTCCCAGCCCGACTCCAGAGGGGTCACGTCCAGTCTGAGCATCATGTTGATGTGGCCCCAATCCCAGCTGAGCTGGCAGCTCAAGGGCTCTCCTCACCACCCACCCTCTCTGCCACAGCACTGAGGTGCCCCAGCAGCTTAGCAAACCCTCCCCATGAGAATCTGGGGCAGGACAATAATCTGTCTCTTCAGCCTCACCCATGGAATTGTTTATTTTGCTCAGGTCAGGACACTCAGCAACAACAGAGGTTGCAATGGCAGCTGGAGATATTGTGTCCAAGCCAGACACCTTCCTTTATTAACTCCCAGATAATCTCTGCCTTTCCCCTTCAGAGACATGTATTAATATTCCACTTGGAAAGACAGAAAGGAAATCAATGGAGCGGAAAGCTCGGCGTGTTGTTTGTGGCAGCCAGGAAGGATTCATTTGCCTTCTGACGCTCTGTTGTGACAGATGGTTACTTTGTGCTGCTCCATCCTGCAAAATTAAGATCTTTATTGGGAGAAGCCATGACAGATTTCATGAGGGCAGCAGTTTTAGGAGAGACACCCAACAAAGAGCTGCAGAACCTCCCTCGTGCCGTCACGAGCCGTGGCAGGTCAGGACAATTCATTTGCTCCGGAGCTCTTTGTGCTCCAGGTCCTGTAAATCCTGGCCGTGTTGGGGATGGCAGGAGTTGATCAAATCCAATTCAGCTGCTGCATTGTGATGAGTTCATGTTTTCCCATGGGAGTGACAGCGTTCCCACTCCAAAGTAAACTCCATGGATTTAACCCCTTGCTCGTTAACCTTGGCTGCCTGGCACTGTCCATCCTCTCTGGGTGGTTTTGGTTTCATGAATGACCTGAGCTGCCCTTCCTTTATTGAACAAAGAGCGACCTCCTTCCCAAACCCCTCCATCAGTCACTCGCTGCTCTCCCAAAGCACCACGAGGGAACCTCGTGAAAACACCCCAAGGGGGGCCTTGCAAAAACCCCCCAGGGTTGAGGTGCAAAGCATTTCTTCTTCTGAGATGAATTTAATATGGCCTCCCCATTTCCAACAGCAGGGCACAGCAACCTCTTCCTCCTCTTCCATTTTCTGAGCTATTTCCTCTTATTATTCACTGAGAAAATTCCATCTGAGTCATGCCTGAATTCCAACCAGTGCAATTAAGTTCCAGCAGCCTCTTCAGCTGGTAAATCCTGAGGTGAGGCTTTGCTGGGTGTTTATGAAAATTTGCTTTCCTGTAATGAGTCAGCCCTGTCTGAACATTAAAGACATGATTCAATTGAATCGAATCGAATTTATCAGATTCCTTCCCTTTAAACCTGCTCTGTGTTCGGTTTGCCTGTTGAAATCAGTGAACCCTCTCAAATGAAACAGTGCAGGAAACACTTCCCAAGGAAAGACTCGTATTTTAGAGGAACAAACCACAGAAAGAAAGCTCCAGGAGGCTGTGCTGGTATTTGGCTTTGCTCCCACCTGTTGGCAGGGCAAAAAATCCTCAAAAAAACCCCAAAAAAACATATTAAATTTGGGAAATATCGTTGCTTAACAACTGGAGTTCCAATTTCATCCCCCTCCCCGAATTGCTGTGCTCAGTCCTTGGCAAAGAGCTGCAGGCTGTGATATACTGCAGAACACAGAGCACTTATTGACCAAAACACGAGACCATGTCCAAGAATACCAAGTTTTATTGATTTGTTTTCTTGTAGCCGGTGCTTTCCCCTGAAAGCTGCAGCATGATCATGATTTGTTTTCATCTCCCACTTTTATATATCTATTGATTGAGGGACGGGGAGAAACAAAAAGGAGAATTGAAGTCTGGGCTTCGGATCCGGCCTTTTCTTGTGTTTGCCAAGAGCTTGAGAGCCCTGAGAAAGAATATAAATTTTCAAGCACAGTTATCTGGGGATCACTGCTAATGGAGGGTGGAAAATGCTCCTGAGCAATTCATTAAGGATGTTTGGTCTATACCAAGGAAGGGACACCTCCTACCCCATCCCTTTGCCAACCAGACAAGGAGTTAAGGTCACCTTACCCACCTAGAGAGGAGGGTAAACCTCCTTTTTTAAGGTCCTCAGTTCTCTAGGAATTGTCTGACCACTCACAAACACAGAACAAAACAATATGGACTTGTAATTGCATATTTATATATAATTATATATTATACATAATATATTTATATATAATTATATATTATACATAATATATTTATATACAATTATATTATATATTATACATTATAATTATATATTTTATATAATATTTTTATATATAATTACATATTATACGTATTATATGGACTTGTGATTACATATTTACATATAATTATATACTACATATAATATATTTATATGTAATTTTATATTAAATATATATTATAATTATATATTATAACATAATATATTTATATATAACTGTATATTTATGTAATTATATATTTAGTAAAAAAAAAAATCTTATCATTAAATTCTAATCAAAGTCCTGGTGCTCTTGTAAGGCAGTTTATTTATTTATCAGATCAATGTATTGATCCAGTATAGAAAATGTTGTTTGCTCTAAGATTTCTGCTATGGATGACTGGAAAAACAAATTTTTCCAAGGTCAAGAAAGGACCAAACCCTCAGACTGGAAACTGCCCTCAGTGGGCTCAGATGGGCTGTTCAGGTTCTACTGCTCCTGTCCAGAAAAAAGAAATTAACCCTCATTATATTCCACAAAGACTTCTGAGGTTTCAAATTCTCTCTTTTTTTTTTCCCAGCACAGAACAAACCCAGAATATTTTGACACATCACTTTGTGAATTTTTCTTTCTGCCATCTCTCTACCTTTCTATCTCTTTCTCCTTCTCAAGCTCCAGAAAATTCCCCATCCAAACCCATCCTCAACACCAATATAGATCTCCAGGAGCAGATGGGTCCAGCAGCAGGTTTGGAGGACAGGCCATTGCAGCAGAAATGTTCTGCCCAGGCAGCCTTGGGGAGATCAAATGTAGGCATTTTACCAGCTAATGAACAATAAGGGAACACTCCCTTGGACTTCTGCTTCCCTGGGATTAAATACAGACCTAAAGTTACCAGCCTTCAGCTGGAAAATGGACTTTAAAAAAGTTATGTATTTGGGGGTTAGAACATCCAAACATGTCATGCAGGGATGGGGAACTCAAAGCCCAGGGGAAACAACTGCAGACATCACATCTGGAAAATCCCAGGATCGCTGAGGTTGGAAAAGCCCTCCCAGCCCATGGATCCCCCTGTGCCCGATGCCCACCTGGTCCCCCAGCCCAGAGCACTGAGTGCCACAGCCAGGCCTTCCTGGGACACCTCCAGGGCTGGGCACTCCAAACCTCCCTGGGCAGCCCCTGCCAAGGCCTGACCACGCTTTCCATGGAGAAATTCCTCCTGGTCTCCAACCTGAGCCTCCCCTGGGTCAGAGAGACCTAAAGTGCATGTTTTACTCT